AATAATAATATTATTATTATTATTATTATTATTATTATTATTATTATTATTATTATTATTATTATAATCGAGACTGTATTTTGTTCAATCACCTGAAATGATCCAAAACATTTAATTCCATCTTTTCACCGCTGTCATCTTGACTTAGCATCCTAAATGCAACAACGATCAACATTTGCAATAAAATTAGAATAATCAATATATTTCTCAAATGTCTATCCAGTTAATTAAATAAGGAATGGAATGATTTATTCACTAGTTCATTGACAGAGAAATTTTTGAAATTTACTCACTAAAAGAAATGCAAAATTTCACATTTGCAGATAGATAGCTTTAATTGAATTATATCAAGTAGTAATCCTTAATTGAAGTAGTATTGAAAATGAATTAGAAATATTAGAGAAAAAAGGTTTGCTATTTCCCGACTAGCCAAAACAACAGTTACGATTCGAAACAGTAGTAAGTTAACATCCGAAAAAAAAAATGAACAATTCATTTTGTTCAGAAAGATGAGAAACCAAAACCTCCGAGGATAACTCAAATTTAAAAGACAACTCTAATTAGGAGAATTTTTAATCTCATCCCAATTAGTCCAAGGAATTCATAATTCTTTCATAACTTTTCTGGTTTTTTAAACAAACATATAGACGCCATCGATTATTTTATGATTAGTTTTTTATTGTTTTTATTTATTATTTGTTGTTTTTTATTGCTTTTATTGTTTTGCTCTTTTGTTTTTTGTTGTTTTTTATTTTTTCGCTTTTTAATTGTTTTAATTGTTTTGTTATTTTTTACTAGTTTTTTTGTTTTTGTTTTTCTTTTTATTTTTTCTTTTTGCAACTTAGCTAAATAATAAGATAAGAAAAGAACAGTCAAAAGAACTAAATGTCCAAATTTTAAGTATTGAAAAATTACTTGTATCATATTCGAGCTTGAAATTTTTGTCAAATAAAGAAAAGAAAATTATACTTAATATAATAAGAATAAAAATTACGTACGAAAGACCGGATTCATGAACTGCTAGTATCCGACGTGCATTTGCTGATTCATTAGTAACCCTATTAATGAACTGATCCACAACCGGGAACTGAACACTGAAGTATAAAGGCCATCTGCGAGCGCATTGGATAACAGCTACCTTGACATCCATCATGATTAACTGAGGATTATCGAGCATAGTAGGAAGAATCCGATAGCTGCCTATAATTTATGGTTCAGCTAAATCAAACTTCTACTACATGATACCTTTTTCTTTTAAAATCATTAACATTGAGCTTTCCAAGTGAACTAAACGCTGCAAGTAACTTTTTCCCAGGTAATTTGAACTTTCTAAAAAGTAAATGTTCGTTTAAGAATTGTTAGATTTTTAAATTGCTGCTAATGTTTTCTGTGATTATTAAAGTAGGAATTTAATCCTTCAGTACCAAATTACTCCAAATAATTTATCCTTTAATAAAACTTAGCGTATTATAAAAACGCAGTTTTATGAACCATTGCAGTACTATACAAATACTTATATCAATTTTTTCATTTCTTAATCTATTTGAAAGGAGAAAATTCAGAAACTTACGTAAAATTTGACTTACAGCATCACGTTCATTGCTACGAATTCGATAACTTTTAGGTTTACGACAATCGGTAATAATTTGAGCAAAAATCAAATCAATTTCTTGCTCTTCTCCAAGATTTTCATTAGGATGAAATATCTGCAAGGAAAATTTTTTTTTTTCAAAATGAAATGTTAGACTTTTAAGGAAGCATAATTGGATTCATTGTAAATTTTATTAATTTATCAAAAGAAAACTAATTAAATAAATTTATTTCAACTAAGCTACACAAGAAATAAATTGAAACAAGAAATAAATCTGAAAATTTTCATTTATTACTTGTTTACGAATCATTAAATCCCATGGCTGTTGAATATACTGTATAGCAGGACGTTCACGCTGTTGTTGGTTTTGTTGACCTAAAATTGATTGATCAAACAAATACATTAGATTTCGACTTATTACTTTTCATAGATCAAAAACTACAAAAAATTATGATCGATAATAATATCAGATGACCAAAAATAGGAAAGTCACTGGAATGATAAATAGATCAATTAATAGCATTTATAAATTCTACGTTTCAAAGTCGAAATTAATATAATAAATACAAATATATGTATGCTGATGAATACGGTAAAGCTGTTTCAGAATCTTACCATCCTGTACAAAATACGATGTCCCTGTTCCTTGTTGTTGTTTTTGTTTTTGTTGTTGTTGTTGTTGTTGTTGTTGCAATTCTGATAAATGAGCCTGATGAATTGCAACTTCTGCCATTATTTGAGCTTGATTTTGCGCATCATTTTTTATTATATCCATTTCATTTATCCATTCTCCAAATGTTTCTCGTTGTTCTTCTAACTACAAAAGTAACAAAGTGTTATTGTTGTCGAATTTCACAAAGTTTTCAAATTTATGAAAATGAAATTGAAAAAAAAACTTCGGAAAAGGTTTTAAAAATTCATATGCAATTATTTAACGACCTATTATCACAAATAAAAATATCATTTACACTAATCCGATTCCTTTTTTATTTTCTTATTTAAATCAATGTAACTACTTGTTGATTAAAATTATCAGTAAAACGGATAAATAAATGAATAATTCAATCCCTCTTTTTTTTGTTTCTTTCTTTTTTAACAATTTCAAAATAATTATAATTTCCAAGTAATAAATTATTTAAAACGTGTCATTTTATTTTCGGGTTGGAAAATAAATAATCATAATTTTGTATTATGACTTTATAAATAATCATAATTTTGTATTATGAGTTTATTTCACTGTATTAGTAATAACTTATGATTGCCTGTCTGATGCTAATTCAATTTGCATCATATTTTATTCCACCAATAATAAATAAGATCGTCACCTTGTTTAATGAATCAATATGGCGTTGAAAGGTTGGTTTGGATGTTTCATTATCGATATCAAAAGGATGATGTAATAACTGTTGCTGCTCCAGATGTTGTTGTTGTTGTTTGGAAGTGTCTTTTACAGAATTTGTTGTATTATAAACAGTTAAACTTCTTGTTGTGGGATTAACATAAATACTCTGTAAACAGAACAATTCAATTGAAAGCATTTCAAAATTCAACATTTTCAATTGACAAATAAACGAAAAATAAATAATTTTGCATATAAAGTAAAACAAAACAATTTATGTATGAATTCAAATTTAAATTAAAAAAAACAAACAAATAAATATGGAAACATTGAACAAGTTTACTTTTCCTTTTTCACCAATCCTTCTCAATGCATCATTTTCGAATTCAACAAGTGTTCGCTTTGATTTTTTCTCTTGTACGATGCCATTCGAATTTGTTGTACTATAAACGTTTACATTTCCTATTGCTGGACTACCATAAATGTTCTGCAATTGTTAAAGTATTTTAATTTCAAAGATATTCAATTAATAATATCAATTTCCAATATTCAAAGCTTTGCCATTTAGCTTTTTTAAAAAGTAACATATAAAAAATGATATTTTAAGTAATGGTGAAAACTTTTAAAAATGATTTTTTTTCAAGACTTTTAAGCAAAAATTTTGCATTTTAAAAATACTTTCAGTTTCTTTTGAAATACTATAAAGCATTAAAAGGAGAAGGAATGAAAAAAAAAGAAAAAAAACGAATACCAATTTTGGAAAACTATTGCTGGAAACGATTTCGTTGCTGCCTGTAATTCCTGTGCTGGATTTTTTTTCCGCTATAGTTATCAAGTGTGGTGATGGTGATAGTGGAGATTGTGATTCCAAATGTACCTGTGTTTGTCGTAATGATGGATTTGGATGTGATGGTGATGATGTGACATAATCATCTGATGATACAGCAGATTTCTCTAAAAATTACTGATTCAAAAATGTTAATATAAATATGTAGCAAAGAATGACTTTCTTCAAAATTAAATCGATAAATAAATTTAACGAAACACTTTGAATGGAAAATATAAAAGAAAGACAGCAGAAAAAAAAACAGTATTAATAAGGATGAGAATCAAGTGATGATATCAATTTCTAACATTTGGTGATTTTGTAATTTAACTTTTCTATGATTACAAAAGTTTCTTTTATCTTGGATAATTAACCTGAATATAGTTGTTCTCGTGTAACTATACCATAATAACAATTCTCGTCTATTCCGTTAGGATGAAATCGATTTCTAATATTGCCCAGTTGATGAGGTTGGGATTGATTTTGTTCCTGTAATTTGATAACCAATTTATTTTTATTGGCCCGACAAATACTCCAAACCTCTTAATAAACACATTACTAATTAATAGATGACAACCTTCTAATAAGGACGTCGTTAATTAAAAACAAATAAATTGATAAGTCGCAAAATTGATTACCATTTCTTTATTATGCAAATTTTTGGTCGGTAATGGTGGACTTTTCAAAGATTCATTTGTTTTTGGATGCACTGGTCCAATGTATCTACAATTCCTTTTTTTTTTTAGACAAATTTTAATTAAACAACTTTTATAGAAGAGATAAATCTTTATATTACCTATGATTGTATTTACCTGGATGAATTTTTGATCAAAAAGAAAATGATGAATTTAAATTTGACTTCTTAACGCACAATTTGGTCTGTTAATACACCAAAACGTTAAATTTAAACATGTGCATATATACTGATAGTGTGTCAGTTGATAATTTGATGAACTGATAATTATCAATTTGTGGAAATTGATGTCATATTTTAGTATTCAGTAAATTCCTTTAAAATTTTCTCTCCCTCATTCTTGCCTTTTCTTCTTTTCCTCGAAATAATTCTAAAAATTTACAAATTGATAATTATGGTTATCTTTTTTCTTATTAAATACTTTATTTGCATATTATTTTGCAAATTATCAACTAATAGTATGGGTAAAAGATAGTTTTTTTTATATGTTGATGTCATCTTAGGATAATAATTAATAATAATTAAGAACAGACAAGATCTGAGAAATATTAGATATTATTTAAAAAGGTATAAAACAGTGAATCTTTCTTATATTACCGAGCTTTAGTTGAAGTTGGTTGTATTTGTCCGACGCGACCTTTCTCGTCTAAATTTGTAGGTGATTGTGCTGTTTCAGGAAGTGGTGAAGAACGCTAAAAAGCTAATAATAATCGAAATTATAATAACTAAAATAATTAAAAAAAATAATAATAATTAAATAATTGAAATTGAAGGGGAAAAAAAAGAATAGCTGGAAAAATATTGCTATTAATGCATCGTTATTGTAAATGTTATCATTCTTACTAATTGGTAATGTTCTGGCTTAATGATAGAAACTAATTAAATTATGAACTGATGTAATGAAATGAAATTGTTTGTTTGAATAATCGATATAATGTCAAAATAAATTTACTGAATTTTCGAGTAAACTTACAATTATCATTGTGGCTGATAAACTTGATAATTCGCCATCATTGAGCTGTAAAGCAAAACAAAAAAAAAGAAAAAATAATACTACAGAATCTATGGAATAAATTATAGATTTATTGAGAGATGCATATTTGATAAAATGAATAAATGACGAGAATTTGTTCTATAATTAAATTTCTTTTTATTTATCAATAATCAATCGTAGGATTGATTAAATGATATGATATGATATCAGGAATGGAAACGCTATTATCGAATATAATATGTTAACAAATGAATGTTTGGTCAAAATTTTTTAATTTTTTAACTTGATATACTATTTTTGTAATATACTATTTTTGTAATATCTAATAGTTTTTCCTTTTTCGTTTGAATCTGTCAAGCAATATCGTCCAATCGGGAAGATATATGGATAATTGAAAGAAATTATTGAATTCAATAGTTAATGATCTGATGATCATGACCAAGCCATTATCGAGCAATTACAGATATGAATAAAACAATATCTAAATCTATCTGATAAATTTTTCCAAAAAAAAACAACCTCGTTATGGCTAGTACCATTTGCATATGCATTAGATGCCATGGTACCATTGCTATACAATGCAGATGTGGTATTGTAATTGTAACAAACAGATATCGGTGATAATGTATGATCGTCCGGATGAGAATGATTGTCAGTGACTATTGAATTCCTCAAATTTATAAAACAGTTAGAAAGAATTAGCCTTGTAAAAATCAAAAAATGAACTGACAAAAAAAAAGAAACCATATTATCTGTGATTGGACGCTAGATCTAATCAAACAATAATCCATCGATAATGTATTGAGCTATTGATTGGAATAATGGTTATATTCATTTGATATTTTTTTGGAAGAAGTTTGCAAAGCATTGTTATAAAGTTATCGTCATTATTATAAGATAACTTAAGTAATTTATGATTAAAAGTAAGGCAACAAAATATATCATCAGGACTGAAATAGCAATAAGCTGTTAATTAGCTTATTTAATTTTCAATAAGCTTATTTTGACTTCTTACTAAATTAAAGAAATTAATATTAACATAAGATCATTTTTTATCCTTTTTATTCTCATCTTTTCCATATTGCTTTAATGGTAATCGATCATATCATATTATAATGACATAAAAGATATGATGTATTACAGCGGTAAACAAACAAAGACACTACTTTATTGGTGTTGGTGACAGGCATGCTGTAACAGTTGTCGCCGGTGTTGGTGATACACACATCATCTAAAAATATTGATCTATCCGAAAATATCCTCAAATCTATACGTATCATAATGTAAGTTCAATGTAAAAAAAGACAAAAAAAAAAATAGAACAGAAAAGATAGATAGCAGGGTTCAACATAAATAGAACCAATATGATTTATCCGATTATTTAGTCAACGTGACAGTCTAAAATTAAACCTCTATTATCATATAAGAGAGTTAGCCTATCTGGGTTCATTCTCTTCGAATCATTAAACTATCATTATCCAATATTTATTTTTTTTTTAATGTTCAAAAATGTACCAAAAATTATGATCCAATTATTCGTTAACATAGTTTAATTATTATCCATCACATAAAGTAATGATAAGCTTAAACTCAGGTCAAGTATGATGAAAAAATCAAACTCAAAGAGATGAAAAGATCAATTATTATTAAACGAATAGAAATCAACTAACCGGTACCATAATCGGCATTACTGATGATAATGGTGTGCTAGTAATGGTACCGTTAGGCAAGGTATTAGCAGTATATACTTGTTCTCGATTTTGTTGTTGTTGTTGTTGTTGGCTTGCTGTAAGCATACGACCTACAATTTTCATCATCACTTATTTTAGCTTTAAAAAATAGTTTTGTACAAAAACGAACAAGCAATACTCTCTACAGGTAGCATTAACATCATTGGTTGTGCTGCATAATTTATCATTGTTGTCATACATTGTTGTGGTGCCTAAAATATGAAATATGTAAAGATTAACAAGATATTGTCAGATAAGAATTAAGTAGGATATTAAGTAAGGACATAATAGGATGACAGCTTTCTTTCAAAGTCAGGGAATTGATAAATCACTGATCTAAAATGATAACTAACCGATTGTATAGTTTCATTTGAATCATTAGCAATAGTTCCTTTAATTGTTGTTGTAACTACTGCAGCGTTTACATGACTGTCATCAGTTCGCTCTAAATCGTTTGCTGGCAACACCTGGAAAATTTTGGTCAAGAATTAAATGGATAAATTAGCTTTAATTACGGAAATTCCCTGAACTAAATTTCATAGTTTAAAATTTGAGTTATAAATTTTTTACAATCATAATATTTATTACAACATTAAACTGCTAAATTCAGTTGATTTTATTACTACTTGAATGAGAATTGCAGGGTGAATTACATTTGGAAATGAAAAAAGTAAAAATTTGAAAGATGTTTAAAATTTAATAATTTCAAATTAGTTAATACCTGTTCAAAGATAGCATCCAGGAATTGATCAACATCACTTGCTTTCGTTGGAATTTGCATACGTCTGATACGAGTTGAAACGGATGATTGCTCTGATGGAGCACTAATTAACGTTTCCTCTAAAGAAGAAGGAAGAAAGAAAGAGCACGATGAAAATCAGAATTTACAATTTACAAACAATGTTCTGCTAACAATATACCGCAACAATATGATAGTAGCAGATAGTATTTGTTTTTGCTTAGTTTACTATCATTAATTAACTCATTTTACCAAATTGATCAGTGCAAAAGATGTGGAATTTATTTAACTGCAAAAACTTTCGTAGTTTAATGTTATAATTATAAGAGAAAAAAAACAGAAGAAAAATGAATTCAACTAAATAGAAAATTAATTTCTTACCAGTGGTTTTGAATTCAACTAAATAGAAAATTAATTTCTTACCAGTGGTTTGATTTGGTTGTTGTGGTGTTGAACAGCACAAAGCACGTTTTTCCATTTCCTCACGCTGTTGTAATATGGTTGATCGCTACAAATATCATTTTATTTTTTACAAAAAATAAATTCCTTCATACTTTAAAAAAAGTTTCAAACTAATTCATTTCAATTTTTTTTTACGAATTCCCATGTTTACAACACGTTTAGGGATTAAATTTGCACGATTGTATGTAATTTTAATTCTATATCATCAATTTTATTTGGACTTCCGAAATTTTTGATGATTTAATTTTCTACTTGAAGATTAATATATTTCAACCTTTGATTTATTATTCAAAATTTATTATAATTCATAATTTGCTTGCCGTGAAATTATCAGAGTGATGTTGTTGCGCATCACTGCTATCAATCGTATTGATAAGAACGGTTGATGATGATGATGCATTTGTTGTATTCAGCTGTTGATTAATTAATCGTTGTCCTTAATGAAAATGTAACGATTGACAAAATATTGAAAAAATTTATTATTTCTTCTTTCCATAAATAAAATCAAAATGAGAAAAGGATACTGTATCAGCTTTAAAATTTCAAAAGGAAGGAATTTTGTAATCATAAAGATATTTAACGTTTAGAATCTTGAAAGTTTCTGTTAATTGCAATCTTAGATGTCAAACGTGTGTCACATTGTGCAATGTAATATATAACAAAAGCTATCATCAATTAGCACTTGAACACTTGATTTTATGACAAATATAAAATTAATTAGATATATTTACCAGTTCCATTCTCCAAATCAGTTATCATTGATTGCCGATGTGATGGTGGTGCTGGTGGTAATAATGGTTGTGCTGGTAGAAATGAAGTTGTTGGAAGCATTACTGGCATAAATTGTACTTGAGCTGGTACAAAAGGCTTAATTAATTAAATTATAATATATGCAAATACGGGGAGAATCGATAAAAACTTGTAAATATATTGTATACTTTATAAAAAACAAAGATAATCACGAAGTTTGCAATCATTTTCCCTTTTTTTTTCTTTTGACTTTACTACTTTTTTCTTTTTTTTTCCATCAGCTAAATTTCTCCTTTCAATAATTATACATCATAATTGACAAACCTAAATTAATTTTAATAATTAACGATATTATATACCATACATGATTTAATTAGCATTGAATAACATTGTTATTTATCATTGAAGAATAATGTTTCATGATAATAAAATATGGGAAAAAAAAATGGTAATCAATAATTTGTCTTCCTTACCATAGCAGGCATTGCAGTAAAATGTTGCGGTATATAAGCAAAATTAGGTTGCTGATCATGATGTTGCTGTTGTTGTTGTCGAAGTTCAACAAATTGTTGTTGTTGACGTCGATAACGTTGCAATGTAGTATCATGCTGTTGTTGTTGTTGATGTTGATGGTGATGTTTCTGTTTTTTTTTCGTTTTTGGCAATTGTTGTAAATGAATAATAAGTACTACAAAATTAAAGCAAACATTAACAAACAAATAAACTAACATGAAAATTGTTATGTATCATATTGCGACCACCATAGGTGACATTACTGTAAATGCTATCATCATAACGTTTACGATCCATCACTGTATCGTAATAATTATTGTTGATATTAGCAAGATCTGAAAATACAAATTCAAATAAGCGGATATAACGTATAAGACGGGTATATCTTGCAAAACATTAAATTTGAAAAAACAAAACAAAATTTTGCTGATAAACGTACCTGGGATTTGATTAATTTTATATCGTTTATTTAAAGTACTTGTTGATAATTCTGGCAATAAATGATGTTGTTGACCATATAAAAATTCACTGAAAACATATTTTATCAAATCGTTTCTCTTCATTTTGACTTCATATCAAGATTTTAATTTAACTAACAAATGAGGTAAAAATGAATTTCAAAAGAAACAAACAAAGAAAATTATCAAAAAAATTTTGATTTAAGCAATTTTTAAGAATTCCGGTAGAAAACCCGGTAAATCTGGTATCAAAAGAAATTTTTTCATGTACTTTTAATAAATTTTTTTACAAAAAAAAAAAACCTCTTACCTATCCTTTCCTGCTCGATCCTCAATTTCATAATGTTGTTGTTGTTGATGTTGATGATACTGTTGTTGCCCATGTAAGTTTGAATTCCAATGTGGCGGCGGTATTGGAGGTGTTTTTGTTGCACTTTCTCCGTCAACAAATGTATCTGTATGAAATGTTCTACAGTTTAATTCTTTCAGTTTAGATTCAGCACACAAATCACTTCTTATCCCTTCTGATACAAACTGCACTGATCGTTGTGGTATCATTGATTGCTGCTCTAGTCCTGATTTATTTGTTTCAAAACGATTTAGCAAAATATCATTCTGAAAAAAAGCACGGCTATATATTTTTTCCGTTATCCATTACAAATTATTTACCGCTGCATATCATTTGATTAATTATGCATATCATTTATCATTCATCATTTCTGTATACATTTTCATTCCATTGACATTTCATTCGTTTCATTTAATGGGGAAAAATGATTGCGCCTTTTTCTCTTTTTTTTAAACAATTACAAAATATCAAAGAAAATATTTGAGAAATAAAATATAATTAATATCAGAATTGTTGTTTGTTATTTCTCAGATAGCATATGCAATGAAGAAAAATTACAAAAATATCTCTTAAAAAAGAGGAATGACATGGAATAATAATTAAAATAATATTTGATTCTTTTTTTAACGATTATTTACCTGTTGCAATTCATTATCATTTGCTTCATTTTCTCTTCTATTTGTAATATTTCCATTACTTCGTGTAACTTTCCAATTAATGCTATTATCAAACATAATGAAAATTTCGTTATTATTTTCTGTAAGTGAGCAAATATTATTCATAAAAAAAGAAAATTATGCAAAAATTGAACTAAACAAATTAACAGTCCATTTAAATAAATAAAATAAACAACCTGTTGATTGTTGTTCCATTTGTGCTAGTATATCATAAACATAACAATTTCCTGGTGCATATATAACAAAACGTTCATCTTCTACACTTAATGTCCAACCATCTGGATCACCAATGCCTCTATAAGAAATGTTCAATTTGTTCAAATCAAAATTATCAATACGATACTAAGTTGATAAGAATTGATGATTAATTAATTAATCATGATTGAATTATTGAAAAATTTTCACCGAATTTGCAAACATCGTTGTGCCAATTCATCGGCAGTCATCCATGAATGCACTTCAAATAATGCTTCATTTTGATCGGCACATTTAATTCGTAACACAGCTGCTTGTTGTTGTTTAAAACTAGCCTAAAAAGATAAATAAAAAAAGGGAATTTATTAATGAATTCAAAGAACTGGAACTATCCGGTACATGCAATGTATAAAACATTAATTTCAAATTTAAAAATTATGCAAAAATTACAGAAACAAATTGACGTCTAACTGATTCAAGTTTATCACGTTAATGCCATCATTAGACAAAAACAACAACTATTCGTACGACGCATTTCCGTTTGTATGAGAAATTAAAATGCGAAATAATTAATTTTGTTGTAAAATTTTTGAAAAAGAAATCAAAATTGCATAAAATAATAATAATAAAAAATGTTTTCTGATAGAAAATTAATATATGAACCTATTACTGGAGAAAGCAATTTCTTGCAGGAAAAAAATCAGTTCACTTAATTTACAAATATTAGCACCTATCTTATTATAAGGAGTATCAATATCACCTATTTTACGATCTTTTTATGAATATAAGAACAATAATATCTCTTGTCTTGTGATTTCCTCTTGTTCTAAAATACATTCTTCCCGCCTTGATCGTCAAATATGTTATTTAATCATATCATGACAGATTTTCATCATACAATAATAATACGATAAGCAGTAAACAAATGAGAAACTCTACCTGTTCCAGAAAAGTTGGCGCAAAATGACGAGATTTTGATAAATTTTTGCTACCAATACATTGCCGTAGTAAACTATCAATCAATTGAAGTGATAAATTTGGTGTTTGTTGTTCAAAATAACTGTAAATTTGTATTTAAAGTTAAAAAAAGAAGAAAAAAGGAAAGAATTAAATATTAAAAAAATTAATTGATGTCATTTTCTTTTATTTCATTTGAAATCATTGTTTTAACATTTGATGCCATTTCAATTGTTATCTAAATCAATACATTTTTATTAATAAACTTACTTCATAAGAGCAGGATATAGTTGTGGTGAAGGTGTAAAACTATTGATTGCACCAAGAAGTAATGTCCAGGCTTTATCAGCATTATTTTTCACTCCATTACGATATGTTTGATTACAAAGTTGTACCAAAAGTTCATCTCTTTGTACAGGATTATCTAATGCCTAAAAATCATTCTTCTCTATATCTATTATAAAACAAACAAATAAAATAATGAACTTTTTTTTCGTTCTTGTCACGAAATTTATTAATTATTTCAAAATAAAAAATTCAGAATTTCAATTTTTGATCTTTGATTTTTTTGCTTAATATTTATGAAATAACAAAGATAGTAATTTTTTGAATCAATTTTTTCCAAATTAATGTTGTTTAAGAATA